AGTATAGACGTCAGATATTTAGAAACATTGTAAGTGACAGAGTTGATCATGCCAACAATGGGTCTAGCCTGACAAAGCCTGACATGAGCTTTGTGCAGCCTTGATATATGTATATAAACTGAAACAGCTGGACTAGTGCATCCTAAATTTAACATCCATTCATTCTTTTAATACAACAGTCATTTCTGCAGTTTTTGGGGAGGTCACCTCCTAATAAATGTCCTTACAGAAAATCTAACTGCTCATTTTAAATCTATACTTTGACTTTAATACTTGAGTAAAAAAAATATCAGATACTTTAAGACTTTTACTCAAGTAATATTCCCAAAGGAGACTTTAACTTTTACCAAAGTCATTTTTTGGTAAGATACTTGTACTTTTACTCAAGGATCACTTTATGGTACTTTATACAACACTGTGTATCTGTTTGATTTTGTTTCCAAATTGTTGAGGTCCTGTGTTAATCACATTTCTGGTGCTTTCGTGTAAAACTGTGGGGCAGAAAATATCACATCAGCTCTGCTTTTTTACCACCTAGGACCTGTGGCTCACAATTATTAGCTTTTTATGGCAATAAAACTTAACCTATTGTGCTGCAAATTGTCCTTTTGGATAAAAATCCTCCACAAGTGAGGGTAAAAAGCCTTTTTAATGGCTCAGAAATGTGCAGACTTCTTCCTCGTTAAAAAAAGGAAGATAAGCTTGTATTTTCAGTCGTATTCATTGACCACTTCTCTAAGGATGAAGCCGTGATGCAGACTGGTCAGAGAGAATGAGAGTGGGCGTCAGGGAGGCTGACAGGGCTTTTTCCACAGCTCAACATGCATTAAAAGCTTCATGCAGAATTATAACAACCCCAAATTCTTTCTGTTGCCTCACCAGCTCCACCAAAACTGCCCCTGGCTGAGCGGAGGCAGGGTGACAACTTTAAGACTCACAAATCGGAGCTGCTGGATGACATTCAGGTACTGTGGTGAATCTTTTTCCAAGGTTTTTCATTAAAATGCTTCATTATTCTTCTGCGTGCACAAAGAAAGCCTCGGTTCATTCACCACCTTTTGATWTGAGACATAAAGAATCTGAAGGTTATCTGGTAAAAGCAGTGGGGCCTGAGTCACCGCACTGATGTAAAAACCACGCCTCTGTTTTGTCACTAACGTCTTCATCATCACACTCCTCGCAGAAGCTGAGGCTGGAGATCGGTCCCATCATGCCTGAGGCGCACAGACCCCAGCTGAAGCAGCACAGGTGAGGGCAGCTTTTACAGAAGCTCCTCTGAATCTGAATCTGCACGACTTCATCTTTCTGTCTGAGCCGAACTGAAGCCCCTCAGCACCCCCCCACACACACACACACACACACACACACTCACACACACACACACACACACACACACAGACACACACACACACCATCCTCTGCCTCTTTCAGCTCACTGAACTGAGTGAAATGTCTTTCCGACTAAATGATTTTTTTTGCACGGTGGGAAAGTTGCCATGGAGACAGCAGCCCCCCAGCCCCCCCCCCACCCTCATTTTTCTCTCTCAGTCTTCAGCATTAAAGCCATGTTGTCGTGCGTGTGTGTCTCTGTGTGTGTAACAGTGTCTACACACACCCTCCTCCTCCTGTTTCAGCTTCAGCAACACATTTAGTAGTTTCTCCTCTCAGCTTCAGCTTCCTCCTCCTCCTCCTCCTCCTCCTCCATTTGTTTAATCCTCTCCTCCTTCTCCTCTGCACATTCCTCCCCAGTCTGCTCTCTGCTGAAACGTTGGAGCTGTAAATTGCTACTTGGTGGTAATGACCACATGACAAATAACAACTGATAAAAATAAAGAGAGGAAGGAAGGAAGGAAGGAAGGAAGGAAGGAAGGAAGGAAGGAAGGAAGGAAGGAAGGAAGGAAGGAAGGAAGGAGCTGGGAGTCAAAGAGGCCGAGCGACTCGACGGAGCTCTATTTAGGCAAAATGCAGCCACAATAAAGAATTAATGACAAAGTGGTTGAATAATTACCTGAGTTCAAAGGCAGCAGAAAGGCAGAGCTCATCACATCTCTGCAGGTAGACCAGGTTATATATGAGCTTTAATGTTTAGTTTTATCCCCAAAATCTGAAAAAAGTTGAAAAGTTGTTTCATTTATTCATAATGGGACATCATAAATGTATGAAATATTAAAATAAGGAAGTGCACCTTTGAATTTAACAGCAGCGACACGTTTCTTCATGATTCTGTGAAGCTTCTCGTCTGTAGAGACCTGAGGAGCTCAGGAGCTGCTGAAACCTTCTGGATCCTGGCTCTTTGCTGGATTTATTGTCTAAAAGCTACATAAGCATTCTCATTATTCAGATTGTGTTTTTCTTTCGTGCATTTTTCAGAATCTTGTTCCGCAATCTTTGTGTCATTTCAACAATTCATGTTTGAAAATGTTCAGAGATTTCAGGACACTCTGGCTATGACTTTGGGTTTTTCAGCTATTTATACTTTTTTTTTAACTATTTCACTTTTTCAACCAGATTTTTACCATTGAAAATAAACAGAGCCGATTATAACAGCCAAAGCAGGCAGGGCCAGGGGTCCMCCGGAGGCTGCTGGGAAGATAATAATAAAAAAGTTTAAACAACAACATAAGAACTCCAGCCAAGTAAAATCAGGGAGTTTGATGCAGCATACATTAAGCATGACTTCACAGATATTCAATAGTAAACAAAAGTGAGAAAAAACACTCTAAAACTTTATGTTTATTTACATATAATGCATTTTTTGTCAGTTTGCAAAGAGCTACCCAGCCAGAAGCTAATGCTGNCCACCCACCCACACACACACACACACACAGCTTGGTTTGGTGGTTTGGTTCCGATTCTTCAGAAGTTGAATGGTTTCCACTAGATGATGAAGATGATTTGTGAAGCAAAGGGCTCAGATGTGAAAAAGAGGTTACAAATTTTCAGCAACCTTTAGCGTCTTGTTAACCTTTTCACACCTTTAGCTACTGTTCTGCTGCTTTAGCTGTAAGTGAACTCATTAAAACAGTTAGCTGCCGTTCTGTTCCTCTCTGCATTTAGCTACAAATGGTTTCGGCTCATTTTATAGCTGATTGCACATTTTAACTCTGTTTGAGTTCCTCCTCCTTTTCTCGCTGCATTCAGAAAGCGATAATGCTCTACAGGTTTTATGCTGCTGCGTTTGGCTTTAGTAGCTGCATTACTGGCATGTTGACCACAGTTTCTCATTTCTAAAACTCGAACTGAACCACCAGCTCACACCCCCTGATTTCTGAGTAAATGATCCGAGACAAAAAATAAAAACTGGTTTAGTTCCAGCCATCATACAAAACCAACTAAACAATTTGCCTTATTGTTGTGTTATTCTTATGAATGATGGCAAATAACAAATGTTGTCATTCTTCACACAAAAGAACAGAGATGTTATAATATTTTCTTCGCAGTTTTACGTAAATTTCATTCATCTGACTCATTAAACAGTTTAAGAAATATAAAAGCAACAGTGAAAGCTTAAAAATGCTAAAAAATGTTAACCCTGTAGCTCAGTTTTTAGCTTGACTGATAAAGTTTTGATGTTTCTTGTTGCAGTAAAAGTGTGAGGAACAGGAGATTCCTTCGTGGTAAAAAGAAATTTAACATGGACCCAAAAGTGGTAAGCTTTTCACATACTTTATTTTTTATTACTAAACATAAAGGACATAATAAAACTCTGCATTTGACCAGGTATAGTGTTTGTAATGGGGTATTAAAAACTGATATTTGTCCAAACCTCTGATGTTTTTGAGAAATAATTTCTAGCACTAAAATCCTAATGAGTAAAACAACATCAACAAAACTATTTTTATCTTTTAAAGGGTTTACTGTTTTAAATGTTATCATGAAGTTTAGTCAAGCTATGAGGGTTGAGTGTTTTTGACATAAGGAGATGCAGGTAAAAAAAACAAAAAACAGCACGGAGTCCAACAATGCTCCGCCGGTGAGTGAGGTGAAGCTGAGGGACTGAAAGGACTTGATCTGATGAGAGAAGTGGCTGCAGCTGTGGCAGGAGAACCAGAGAGCAGGTGCAGAGGAGACGAAAACTGGACCGAAGGGGTTGAAAAAAATGAAACAAAGCAACAGAAAACCATCTATCTGAGCTCATTTAACCCTGACTCTCAGCAGCAGCCTCTGCAGAACTCCGCTCAGCGGATGCAGGTTTGAGAAAAGTGCGACAGGCTCTCAGAAGTGCAAACAGTGCAGCTGCAGCCACGCAGAGAACGAGCAGCAGCGAGAAGAACCACATCCTGTTGCCTGAAGTGGTGCAGAAGCGTCTCGTCACCAGAGCTGCCTTCAGTCTTTCCTCTCTGGCTCATCTGATAAAACTGGGTCTCTGGGCCCGCGAGCTCTGCCGGAGCTGCAGGTCTTTAAGTGGGACTGATGTGTAGAAGTGATTAGTGGAAGTTCAGGGTGCAGAGTTCATTAATCTCTTCTGCTCCTATGTGTTGATTAATAAAGATAACAGAGACTCAAAAGGTGAAAACCTTTCTTCAAATGTGACGTCATTAACATAAACAGTGCTGATAAGAGTTTCAACCTAAGACAGCCCACCCACTCTCAAATTCTTTTTTTTTTTTTTTTTTTTTTTTTTTTTTTTTTTACCTTTTATTCAAATCCAGTTTTCATCTGTTTTTCTGCTGCAGGGAATCAAATACCTGATTGAAACTGGTTTTCTTGAATGGAAGGCAGATTCAGTGGCTGAGTTTCTTTACAAGGAGGAGGGACTGAACAAGACCGCCATCGGAAACTTTCTGGGAGAAAGGTACAGTGGTGGAACGACTCACATGTGGTCTGAACAGGGGGAAAAAAGCAGCAAAGACAGAAGCACAAACTGTTTATTTTAGCTTTAAAATGGATTTAAACCCAGAATAAATCGAAGTCACTCTTATGGGGTGCCAAGTAATTTCACTAACTAGCCTATTTTTCATTATTTAGCTCACTCTTCTTACATTTAGCTAAATTTTTTTTTACTAAATGTTAAATTTAAATGTTAAAAAATATGTTGAATATTAGGTCTAAATCCTAAATCTAAATGTTTAAATCTAAATGTAAAAGTTAAACCTTAAATGTTGAAGTTCACATTTAGGTATTGGAATGGAACGCAGCCTTTGCTGTTGGTGCTCGGCTCATGTTATGACATCATCATCCTGAGACAATAGCAACCGCTCGCTCCAATGCAGCTAAAGCTTCCATACAAGACATCACACTTGCAGTTCTGGCTGGAGTCTGAGCTGCTTTTCAAACTGCTGGACCACAAGGACCACCCAATATTTGTTTTTATGAACATAAATATTATCTTCAGCAGCGTTAGAAGTGTTAGCAGAAGTTAGCGTCAGAGAACCAGGATGATATCATCAACCTGTGACAAACATCAACAATGGCCACAGCTAGCTGCCGCTAACTCTGCTGAAGATAATATTTGAAATCTAAATTAAAAATGTGTTCATAAAAACGAATATGGGTGGTCCCTGTGGTCCTGCAGTTTGAAGTGCAGCTCAGATAACAGCCAGAACTGCAAGTTTGATGTCTTGTAGGGAAGCTTTAGCTGCACTGGAGTGCTAGCAATTGTTATTGTCTCAGAATGATGACATCATAACATGAGCCCAGCACCAACAGCAAAGGCTGTGTTCCATTCCAAAATACCTAAAGGAACTTCAACGTTTAACCTTTACATTCAGATTTAAACATTTAGATTTAGGATTTAATATTTACATTTATTTCTTAACATTTAAATTGAACATTTAATAAAAAATTAGCTAAATGTAAGAACAGTGAGTAAATAACAATAAAATGTTGGCGCCCCGTACACCTTTGCAAACAGAAAAATGGCTTTATTAAGATAATTTTACAGATGCTGAGGTTATATCTGGTATAACAGAACATGCATATATTGTATGTTTCAACATTAGATGGTTTTAGTCTAAAACTGGCAAGAAAAGGACAATATGCATTCCTTTAGAGATTTAGTTAATTTCTACCTGTTCACCGGGAGGAGGTTGCAGAATTGAGTTTCTCCTCTTTTCCAACTGTTTTGAACTCAGTTCTGAGTCTGTGTGCTTCACCTGTCTGTAGGTTTTGCTGATCTTTGTTTTTAAATGTCACACAGGGAGGAAATGCATCTGCAGGTCCTCAAAGCCTTCGTGGGTCTGCACGAGTTCTCTGATCTGAATCTGGTTCAGGCTCTGAGGTTTGTGAAAATCACTTCTATCTTCAGGCTTGTTTTTCTGCTGGAGATGAAATCTGCTTCTTGTTCTCCACTTTGTGTGTTTTTTTTTTTCTTTTCCTTCACATGTCTGTTTGCTGGCAGGCAGTTTCTGTGGAGCTTTCGCCTCCCAGGAGAAGCACAGAAGATTGACAGGATGATGGAGGCTTTTGCAGCTCGATACTGCGACTGCAACCCGGGGGTCTTCCAATCCACAGGTAAGAGGTGATTTCACGCAGTCCAATTAAAACCGTTTCTGAGTCTTTAATTTGAATGTCTGCTTCAAGACACATTACAGAGCGATAAAAGCCACCGAAACGGCTTATCCTACCTCGAACTGATTGACTTTTTTCACTATAATTACTTAGGCTCTAGCTGAGTTTTATACAGAAAGTCATTATTTTTAATGGCTGTCGTTCTCCATCTGAAACTGAGGGGAAAAAAAACTAAACTGTGTTTTTTTTTCTGCAACAGACACCTGCTACATTCTGTCTTTTGCCATCATCATGCTGAACACCAGTCTGCACAACCCCAACGTGAAAGACAAGCCGAGCCTGCAGCGGTTCGTCTCCATGAACAGAGGCATCAACAACGGCAAGGACCTGCCTACCGACCTGCTCACGGTCAGCTCATCTTTAGGGGGCTTCACTTCATCCTGGTCAGGAGTGTGAAACGGGAGCAATTAGAGACGTTTTCAGATGATCTGTGAATGAAATAGAAACCAAAATAAACCCTGTTAAAGGAAGGTTAATTTTTGTGGTCCAGCTCCTCTGAGATGCATAAGTTTATAGATTTAAAACCATAATAAATCAGGTTCTGATTCCTCACTGCCACAAGCAGACAGAAACAGGATGTTTTCACATGGATACAAAAAGCAAACAGACACATAAACTCATAATTAGAGAAATGGATCCATAAGTTTCTGGGGAACTTGTTAAAAAAGTTCCCTCCATGACAGCTGCTGTCATTGTTTCTAGTTTATTTTACAGAATCTTTTTTTTACTGTTAACTTTTGGCTGCATTATGCAACTTATTATTTCTTTTTGGTTTACTGGACGTCTTGTTTTACTTTGAAACATTTTAAAACAGAAACTGTATGCGAGCATCCGCAGTGAGCCTTTCAAAATCCCAGAGGATGATGGGAACGACCTGACTCTGACCTTTTTTAATCCAGACAGAGAGGGCTGGCTCCTGAAAATGGGTGAGCTGATGGTCTGACTGTGCAGATCTGAGGATTGTAGGTTCTTTCACCTGGTTTGAAACATCTTTCCTCCTCCCTGATGCAGGCGGTCGGGTCAAAACGTGGAAGAGGAGATGGTTCATTTTGACTGACAGCTGCCTGTACTATTTTAAATACACCACAGTGAGTTTTCTTCTCTCTGAAAAAATAATAAAATAACCTCAGTTTGTGTTTGACATCAGTTTTCTCCTCCAGGATAAGGATCCGATCGGGATCATCCCTCTGGAGAACCTCGGAGTCAAACAGCTACAAGACTCCAGCAAAGCGGTAAAGTTTTTAAAACATTCATGAGTCAGCAGGCAGTAAGAAGAATATTAAGGTCAATGGGAAGCTCATCTCTGTAACTGTGTGTTTAAACAGTTCTGTCTGGAGTTATATAACCACAAAGGACAAAAGATAAAAGCCTGCAAGACGGAGAACAAAGGCCGAGTGGTTCAGGGCAAACACCAGTCTTATAAGCTCAGCGCAGCCAGCGCTGAAGAGCGGGACGACTGGATTGATGCAATCAGGTGAGAGGCAGCCCGGACAGCTGTGATCATCTAAAAACAAAAACAGGAAAACAACAAATACTAATGAAATAGTTCCAAAGGATTCTTACTGCAACAATAAAAAAAGATTTAATCATTTCAAAAGTCTCCATCCCTCCTGCTGCTCTCAGAGGCTTCAGCCTGAATTCTTTTTCTTTTTCAGGGCGAGCATCACCAAGGACCCATTTTATGACCTGGTGTCGATACGGAAGAAGAAGGCCATCAGCAACACTTCCTCACAGGACTGAAGCTGCAGACAGCTCAGGATCTCTGACGTGTTTTAATGAATCCTCACGAGCACTGGCGATGAGGGGAGAAATGATTCAAACAGCATTTCACGGAAAAACGTTCAAACTAGGAACTGACGCTTGTGGTGTCGACGGGGAACGGCAAACTGCACGCAACTATTAGAGTAAAGTGTTCGTAATAGTTCTGAGAACTGAACGCARGACTGATCTAACCTCAAAAACTGACAGTTCAAAGAGTTTCTGCTGCAGAAAGAAGGGAGGAAGTTTCAGGGTTTTAGCTTGTTAGCATTAAGAGACCTTATCAAATGTTGAAACAAGAGGTCTAAAAAGTTCTGTACTTGTTAATTATACTTTGTTTTTCAGCTTAAAGAGTCATCGAGTAGAACTAAAATATTCACATATACCGTGACTACAAGGAAATGTAAAATTAGCATTAAAAGCATTAAGAAGAGATAAAAGTCTGAGAAAAAAAAGATAAAAATGATGCAGAATGTCAACAGAGCCAGAAACAGGATGCATTATAATTCTCGACAAGATGCAAACTGGCTACAAAGTAATATAAAAAACTATAAAACATAAAAATATATAGTAAAATTACCAAAAACAAAACCAATATGTGCACAAAGTCATGCAAAATCCCTGCAGAGGCTCAAAGAATAAAAGACAGTGAAGAATCACTAAATTAAAACGTGAACTTCCTGTTTTTCATTATTTACTTCTCATTTAAACTCCTTAAACATGATTCATGGATGTAAAAATAAGAGCTCAGATCTGACGGTTTGTCAATTTCAGGAGAAAATGTAGTTTTTTTTCACTTTCAGTGCACAGTTTTCTGTAAATGTAACAAGGCGACACTTTGGTTCCAAGAAATGGATGTAAAAATAGTTTTTTAAAGGTTTTGTTTTAACTCATGGATTTTTGTCTGTATTTGTATGCATGTATTTAAGGTGTGATGTAAACAAACTGTAAAATAAACTTTTTTATATATAACTGAGTGGTTTTATTTGTCCACCAGATGGCGCCACATCATCGTTTCATGTTGAAACAAAGCTCACATTTAAATAAAAACTTTCATATAAAAATCCTCACCACGAAACCAGAAGGACGTGACGTTAGAAACATGTTTGTTTTATCAGATGAACAGATGAAGTTGTGCGTGGAGTCTTTTCCTGTCAAATACTGATGGTGGTTTCCTGACAACACACCCTTCCAAAATAAAACAGCTTTTATTTTATTCAGACTCACCTACAAAACGAGACAAAAACACATTACTGATGTGTAACCACTGATTTATCCAGCAGCTACACATGTAAAAACATTAAAAACACCCTTTTCCTGTTAAACCTTAGAAAATAAAACTCTTGACTCATTTGTCTTAAATCTGTCGATTGACTGATTTGATGGTTTAGATCTTTTTCTGCACACAACTTCCTGGAACTTTGTGTGAAACTGTCTCTGCTGTCACTAAACGACTGGATTATTGCAACATATTTACTGAAACTCAACTCTGCAGTTATTTTCAGTTGAAATGGTTCTGATTCTTAGATTTTCAGATTTGCTGACAGTCAGGTTTTGGTCCGCTCTTCTTTAGGTTTAGATCCCTCCTCAGTTTTTCATGCATCATGATGAAGAGACATGACTAAACCTGCTCCTTCCAACCGTTTTATTGAAMTTAAACTGAAATCTTTGCAGACAGAAACAAACTGGTGTAAGTTTTGGGTTCAATAWGAAGTTTTACTCCATAAACAAACTAATGAACTCCATGAGCAACCAAACCAAACTTCTGATTTTGTAAATAAAACTTTTAGATCACGTCCTAGTTCTAAAAATGCAAGAAAAATGTTTGATCTCACAGTTAGATTTTTTATTAAAGCTTTTTTGTTTAACTGAATATGTGGAAGACCAACTTATGTTCATAGAGTTGARATTCACTTGGAAAAAGCTGGAAAAAATAGCCTGATTTTAATTAGAATCTTTCAAATGACACATTTTTAGTGTCTTCCAGAATTTAAATAGCATTTTTTTAATCAGTAACAAGTTTTAGGTGAACACATTAGACCTTTCGTTTGATTAATTAAAAATACAGCTTTCATTAAATGCTGTCAGACTCAAACAATTATGAAAAAAACTTCTTTAGCAAAAAATAAAATTAAAATAAATAAATAAAAAAACAGATTATTTGAAATCCTGACACGAGGTGATTTTATTCAGACTCGTGGATCTGTTTTACCACCTGAACAGATGGAAAATAAAACAGTGAAATGACAATGAGGTCAATACATAGGAGATAAAAATGTTATTTAATTGAATTTCCTTCTACAAATTGTCATATTTCTGTTGATGTTTTTTCATCTAATCRGTCTTTTAATCACAGGAAGTGTTTTTTGCACATTTTCATCTCTTACTGAACTCAGCTGCAACTCAAACAACTGAAGTTTGAATCTGAGGSCAGTTTATTCAGTGTAAAAAAAAGCTTCACACAGTTTCTTTGTCCATTATTCACAGCCTGTAAAACAACACTTATTGTGTTACTAAGGGTCCGCAGTAAGGTGACACTCTGAGGCACAACTGATCACTTTTCCTGTTTCCACAGCAACCAAAAAGGGCCGTAAGTGTGATAGAATACACCTATATACTGAACGATGAAATACAAGAGTTAAACAGAAAAAAAAAACACTGAGCAGTGAAATAATTTAATACAAAATCTATAAAAACTGTAGGTTTGGCAGTGAGATTCCTGCCTTCAGAAGCGTTTTTTTTTTGGCCGCGAGCTCCAGACTTTCTGCAGAACCYTCTTCAGAGTGGACCTTCAGCTCAGACCAAAGCCACCTCACAAACAGCCATAAAGTGACGTCAGCTGTCCAGTCAGCTGATCCTGTGACTCAGCTGCTGCACAAACTCTTTGTGTAACAATGTTTGCTCATGACTGGATGCAGTTCTTCTTCGAATGCCGGCGCCGGCCTTTATATCCTCCTGAAACAGAAAAACAAAGAGTCATCCAAACATTCAAACGTATATATTTAACAGCATCCAAGGCTTCTACAGTTAACACAAGAATACTGAGACTAAAACGTGTCTAACAGAAAGAATGATCAAAATCCACCCTTTTCTCCGTGCTGCTCCACCATCTTTTTATTTCAATACTGAAATTAACCTCTTCAGCCCCAAGGGGTCTTCTTGACATTTTTTTTTCTCAAAATGTGTGTATCTCAGCTTTTACAAACTRTACTTAAATAATCTTGGTATCAAAATAAAACTAACACTTGGGTGGGTTCATCAGAAGTGTAAGTGTTACAACAGCTGCTGCTGTTTTAGAGATATTGGGGATGGAACAYAAATTATTTATTTTTTTCCCTCCAACCTGAAGAATTTTTTRKWT